TTTCTGCTAGAAATGTCGCGAAGAACCGCTTTGTTGCAAAAAATTGCACTATCGTAATACAAACGTTATAAAACTAGCGAAAAATCTTCACGCAATAGTGTAAGAAGTTTATAAGGCATCGAAACATAATAATCGCAGAGGCCTGGGACTTTTACTATCAGCATGGTAAAGAAGTGTAGCAATTACATTCGTTAATGAGAGCCAGCCAAGTGAAGGTCGTATTCTTTCAAAAACCTGTTGAAGTAAATTATCGGCCGGAAACCCCTTAATATTGACTTTAGCGCCTTAACAATCCATTTTTTTTGCACAAAAGTTTTGAGCGGAAAAAGAAAACCTACACGGATGAATCATTCTTGATCGTTTCTTGAGAAATCGTTTGCTGTTTGTTTACCTCCGATTACATAGAATAGATTGAACGCATGTGTGCATCGCTGGACAGAGATTATACTAATGTTAGAGTCCTCATCTTTTATTTCTTTCTTCAATTCATCCGAATTTATTGCGAGGAACTTAAGTGCGTGCCATTGAAAAATATGCACAATCGATTGTTTGACTTTAATCGCCTCTTTTTAACACCTGCAGGCACAATGATGCTAAGCGCTTTATCTGTTGCAAAGCATCAGAATTTGCCTGCGGCTGCGAAAAATCGAGTCTCACAATTTCATTATTTGCAGCAATTAAAGTGCATAGGGTTGGGTTCTATGCATTAATCTGTGCATCTAATTGCTTAAAACCGAACTGCATACTAAAATCATTCGTCGTCATGTGTGTGCAAGTATGCATTTGCAGGTATGCATGCATGCATGCATGCATGCATTTTATTTGTTTTGATTTCATTTCTTATGTTTACTTGTATGCATACAAGTGTGCATAAATACATGCAAGTGCGAATATGAAATTTGTGCTGATGTTTTCGTTTATGCGTGCAAGCATACACACGCACGCATCGATACTCCAGAAATGCACACCTGTCTAAGCACAGGCAAGTTTGTATTGTAAACAAATGAATGAATATCAAGAATTCTTGTTTTCCTTTAAGCTTTTATAAATAATAAGAATCAGAACAGATGTGCTTTAATTAGTATATAAATTTAAATATTTCCTTGTCGTCCGTCACACGAACGGAGAGGCGGGCGCATACTAATTTTGTCAATTCGTTTGTTACCCTCAAATAAACGCATTTAACAGCTTACAGAACAAATGCATTAATCACAAACATTTGAATTCCATTAAAATGTTTAGCTTGATTTATGCATATTCCTCCATCAGCTTACCTCACCTGTACGATGAAGCTCCTTGAAAACGTAAACCCTGAGAGTAAGACCTTGGCTTTCTTATATACAATTGTCGTATCCACAGAATAGATCAGACATAAAGTATGGGATAAATAGAAGGCTACTAAACTAAAGCATAAAATGTGGTCAAAAAAACTTTTTTTTTTCAACAACTTATTACAGTGGCTGTACATACAAAACTGGCCGGAAATATATTTCAGCCATGTGCAAATATTCTTTGTTGAATTGGTTTTCGTTTTCTCAATATTTACCTTAAGCATATGTGTTTTTATTTATGATCGGCTAAGATTCTCAAATACAAGCAGAGACAAATTCCTCAAGGGGACCGTTAGGAAACACCTCGCTTCCCGAGTTTCGTTCATTATTCGCCTTCCGTTGTAAATTTCATAAAATTGCATCAGCTATTCTGCGCAGTAAGTGTATTAGTACGTAAGGGAGAATTTTGAATTCTTCACTCTCGATTAGCTGAACTTAATACATAAACTGTTACGTTTCCTGGATTTTGTACATAATTATATCCTTAGTTAGATTTCTGAATTTTAAGTGCGATGGGCGTTCTCTTGCGCGTACGTTTAAGCAAAGTTCGCGATTTTAATGTTCACGTTACTTGAATTGGCTCTTGAGCAGAATGTTTAAGATGATTGTTATATTGAATGCCGGTGCGGTATAGTATTGGTCCATATTTCGGTCTTGGACTCTCTCAACGTGTCCTATAGAATCTCTTTTTCCCTACAAGGCGTAACTTTTAGTTTGCTAACTTTCGGATGAAAATGATTTCAGAATCTGGAGGAAATCAGAATATGGAGAAAAATGGATCATTTCTTAAGTTTTTTATATTGAATGCTTGTTCGCTATAGTACTGTCCCATATCTTGGTCTTGGACTCACTTAATGTTTCTTATAGAATCTCTTTTTCTCTACAAGGTGTAATTTTTAGTTTACTAACTTTCTGATGAAAATGGTTCTAGCATCTTAACTCGACATATAAATTTATTATGATAAATTTGGAGATCGATTTTTTGAAGCCTCCCTTTCCTTACATCGTTTCTAGTGAAGGGTAACACATATAAGGCACAAAAGTAGAGATTTTAGTATTTTATGAAGAAAATATGTGGGGTATTTAACGTACGGTCTTGTCCGACAGAAACTCTTGTTCTTCTTGTTTTCTTCATTTGTTTTATGTTTCTAATTAAACAAATTTCAATTAAAATTTATTTGTTTTCTTATCTCCTTTCTCTTTATAAATAATCAACAGATTATTGCTATTGAAAAATAAACATTTTTTGAGTTATTTATATTCCTTCTACGCCCATTGCCGAAGGCTGATGGTATATGCATTTTGTTGCAACGTTTGCAACGTTCAGAAGAAAGCTTTAGAGACCGTTTATCCGTAAAAGTTTTGACGTTTACTGCGAGAGTGACCGCCACACAGTATCCTCCGACGCTCACCCAACTTTGTGGAGCGTCGGAGTGTCTATTGTTTTTTCTGTAGGTGGATGCTACAAATGATTCGTTCGCAACCGAATATATTTTGCTGACTTCTTTTACTTAGCTCAGCTTTCATTTCGGGTGAAAATGAGTTTTTCGTCTCGTTTTCAAAGTTCTATTAAAAAGTTTGAAAAGATTTAATTAAAATTATAATTATATCCGAATAAGAAGGATAAGCAGCGCTGGAAGGAATAATTAGACGAAGAGTGTGTGCACATATGTAAGCGTGCATGTGCATAATTTTACATTATTTCAATTTTAAACTCTAATCAATTATTCATCTGTTGGTTATCTCTGTTTATAGCTGCATTTGTTTGTTTTTCTTTCTTGCGTATAAATTTACATAGAAATTAAGTATTTAATGTATGTTATATAACGTAATGTTATATAATGTTTGTGTGTATATGTGTGTTATACTATACACTACACAACAGATAGTTAATATTATGCTTGATGTATGTTTATATACGTTAACTATCTATCCTTATATGTACATGTGTTCGGATGCGTGTGTGTGCAATCATGCATAATTTATTACTAATGTGGTTTCTGTACTCTCTATCCGAGTACTTTAACTGAGAATCCATAACATTGGTTAACGCAATGCGTACAAACAAAATAAACATTTTCTACGTAAATATATGCACATAAATGTTTGTGTATATTTTATGTTTATCTACAGTTTAGGGATTATGTAACTTTAGATAATTGCTCCAACTGGGACTTCTTTTCTGCGTTGCAATAATGCTTATAAAGTTGTGCTTATAGTTTTTTCTTTGAATGCCCGCTTTAATGCATCGAAGTAATTAATGCAAAGGCATTTATTCTTTAAAGCTCTAACAACTTTTCGATTATTTTTTTCTGTTATGTAGCATCTTTGAAACAACGCACTAAGCTAAATTAAATGTAAAAGTAAAACCAACACATAGTTAGGAAATTGTATATAGGATATTTATATAAAGGATTTTTGAAGGCGTGAATATAAGCAAACAAATGGTGCGTTTTACCTAAGTTAATCTCACTTTAACTGACACCCGTGCCAATTATTATGCTAATATTTTCAGTAGTTTATCACACAACAATTCTCCACTTTCATCCAAAAAAAGTTCACTTCTCAATTTAGTTTTAGTTCACCAATGATATCGAAACCAAGTGTCCGTAGCAAGAACAATAAAAAGTCGGACAAAGCTAAATTAAGCAAATAAGGCGATCAGGTAAAGATATTAGTCCAACTCTGGCGAAATATCTCGAAGAACGAGTGCATAGCGAGAGTCCGCGTTATTGGGATGGAAAAGGCAAGTGCAGTCTGTTCATAATTCTTGCGAATAGCTTGAGATTTTATCTTCCTAACCGAGTCAAGAAGGTATCTCCAAACAAATTTGCCGCCTTTAAGAAATCAGACAGATCTACATGAAATGAAAAAGCCAGACAGCGTAGCGAACCGATAAAAAGTCTGAAGAAATCAATGTAGTATAGGAACAAGCCTTTGAAGGCCAAATAATGTTCCCCAAATCGAGCACTTTTGAACTCCCACCACGACATAGATGTAAAAAGACGACCAGGACGACTTTCTTTGCCCGTTCACAATGAACAATCGTTGTTTCGCTTCGTAAGGACAAATTTCATTTTCGAACCAAAATTTAGTATAGCTTGATCGCGCTCCCATACGTAGCTTCGTTTCATTTATACAAATTCTATGGGTTCATCCTACTAACCCATCTTACTTTTTGGCGCGAAAGTCTCGTTTTTTTCGATTTGCCCTTGATATGCTATTTAGAATTTCGTTGTTTTTGAACCTTTCGGCTTATTTTAAAAACCGAAAAGTTCACTCTTTCAGAGGAAAGAAAACGGGCCGGTTTCATCAACCACTGAAGGTAAAAGTGTAATAAATTCATTGCTGCTACTCTGTGTTGAAACATTTCTATTTAGATGAAGCATAAACAAACGCACAATACAAAATTTGAAACTACTTTTAGTTGGTCATAGCGGTGTTATAACTCGTGTGTTTTGTCATATGGGTTCCTACATATTGTATGCTTCCGATTTGTCAACACCCGATGCTTCACTAAATCGTGTAACAGACTTGAACATAGTACTTACAAATAAAGGTTTCTTTTTTCTTAAAAAGCGCTAAATCACACAGTTGCTCAACGTGAGCATGATTTAAATTCACTCAAGCACTCAATTTAAACTAATATCTTAATAATAATGATGAACACTAATAATTAACTTCATCTATAGTTTCCATGCATTCTTGGCCTTCAATTGATTTAAATTCCATTTTGAAACCCTTGAAGTTAAATGATTCATTGGTAATGAAGCGTACTGTAATCGAATCGGAGCACGACTTAATGATGGATGGTTTCTTAAATGAGAAAAAGTCAAGTTTGTAATGATTCTTCTTCTCTCAAATGTAATAATTCAAAAAACTTACACCGGCGCCGCAAAATCGCCCATAGCTTTTACGGTAATAGCCAGGTTCCTCGATAATCTCTAAATAATCGGGTTCACAACTTTCATCATACTCAAGTTCGAAATCTACGACCTTGATTTCAACGCTTTTGTCCGAATCAGCGGTTATATGCCAATCGCATAGCATATTATAGCGATACGATTTTGAGCCATAACTTGGATGAGAGAGCAATATTTGCGGATTATTTGTCGCCTCCAAATAGCCACCACATTCTAGGTTTTTGTGAAAATGTAAAAAAAAATTCTATAAGAAAATTAAATTTTCATAGTAACCTGTTAAATGTTTGACATTGAATCCCTTAAACTGCACATTAGCGTCCGTTCGAAATACCATTAGCATATAGTTGGTTGTAGCCAACACGTTGTGGGTCGCGTTTAATTTGCCGCAAAACATTCCTAAAGATGAACTAGCCTGTGATCGCCCATCGTATATGGTTACATTGTCATAAATGCATTCCTGGGAAATTAGAAATTACGTAAAATATTCTTCCTATGTTTTTATGTTTAGGCGCTTTTACGTGTTTTTTTAATTTTTGTTGCTGCGCTCCTGCAAACTCATACATAACATTTTTTTCATTAAACTTCCGTCCTCCAGTAATTGTTACGTTTACCTATAAATTAGTTTTTCTCCTAAGCTTACTCTTAAATTTGATCTAGTCTTTGACTTCCTAAGTGAGCTATCCTCTATTTTTATCTCTATCTTTTCCTACTTATTTTTCGCTACTCTTCTCCAGACAAATAGCCTTGTTGTTGTTCTCGCCGCAATCATTTTCCTTTATTTTACTCCAACGCCTATTATTCTCCGCGACGACACATATATTTTTATATCCTTACATCTTCTCTCTGCTCTTTTTCCCCCGCTTTGCCTTATCCTTGGCCTCATTTTGGCTCTCATTCTTATTCATATCCTCAATGGTGTTTTTCCCATAATCTTAGTCTTAAACTTATGATTATACTGCGACTACATTTACGGTTATTTCTTTATACCTTTAGTTTTTACATTATGTTCATTTTTCACCCTTACCTTCAGCTTCATCATGCCCATTACAGCTATCCGCAAGAGTAATGTAATAGGTAAGCACCGCGGCTACGTCAGTAAGTGTTCGCAGCAATAGTGAGCACTTAATCAGTAAAGCTAGGCTGCGGCCATCTTGCTACCTCTTTCATTGCCTTCTGGTCGTCACCGTATGACACGAGTCGAGTGATTGGTCACATTCTTGCACTTGATCTTACTTACACGCAAACACTGACCCTTATCCTGTTCCTTACTTTCCCCTTACTCTAACTCTTCTTATTACCTATCTCTAAATACACGTTTCAAGTATATTCCTATTTTCATTGCTTACCTGATGATGCTCTACATCAAATTCGAGAAATTTCAAGCGTATACGATGACCCAGTACGGTCTGAAAACGCCAATAACAGTAACTGTTCCTGGTATAATTTGCGGGATAATTTAAACTTGATATTCTCCCATTAGGAGCCGTTATATTAAACTTGCACTCGGTTTCAGTGCAATTACGACCATTTCCATGTAAAATAAAACCCTCGCGGCACAAGCATTCAAACGAACCGAATGTATTCTTACACATTTGTTCGCAGCCACCATTTCGAATGCTGCATTCGTCGTTGTCTAAAAGCAGTAAAAAAAAGATGCAAGAAAATGTTTGGAAAAACTCGCATGAATCCTCTACAAACCAATTTTATATTCAGCTTTAAGTTTAGTTCGCTGGTAAGCTTCTTCGCCCAGATTCAACTCCAAGCGTAAAATGTTCTTCAATGATTTTACGGAAGCCGGAAATTGGTAGCAATAAAATTGTCCAAATTTTTTTAATCTCTTGCTTTTAAATTGAGAATAGATTACCAAATAGTCGCTGTCGTCACACACTAACTCGAATTGAGTGAAATTTAGAAATAAAGTGTAGTTTTCGGGAGCTACCAATTTCCAAATGCACTTTCCCGGCAAATTAAAATTGCTTGGAAATGAGGTTAATCCGAAAGTGCCTTTGCCGTCATTAGCATCAATTACGCTGCTACAAGGATTTTTCGCACAACTTTTCCCATCCGCCAGCAAAGCGTAATCGGGCAAGCAGGCGCAGCGATAACTGCCTAAAGTATTCTTGCATTTTTGTTGACAATTGTGAATGCCTAACTTACACTCGTCGATTTCTAGCATGAATATCGCTGAGAAGCTTAACTTCTCTATCGAGCTATCACTGACGAATTTTAGAAACATTTCATTGGTTGTTGAACTATTTCAAGTTGAAAGGAAACATTTATTACTTAAGAGATTAATTTGGTTTCTATCAGCGACTTTTTAAACTTACATAATATTACCGGGATTGGATGTGCCGCAAACTTTTGCCAATATACCTGAGGCAGAATTGTTACCGTTTCTTATTTCCAAGTAGTCAACATCGCACTCATCACGACTCCCCAAGTCGAGAAACTCAAATTTGACTGCCACTTGGTGACCTTCAGGTGCTATAACATACCAGCTGTACGGCTTATCGGCTAAATGCGCCGAACGACTTTTGAAATCCAAATGCCTGCTGCCGTTTAGCCTAATAATATTATTAAAAATAACTGGAGAAAGAAAAGAAAGGAGAATATTGATGACATGGTTTGCAAAGCCATTTTGGGACTCAAAAAAGTTTAAAAATTTATCAATTTTTAGAATGATTTAAAAGATGGGTCTGTCAAAGCCATAAGATTATCGCTTCAAAAATGTTGCAAACTTTTTCGTTCACTAAGGAAATTTTAATTAACCCATTGCGATAACGTTCACACCAAAATAACTTTGGGAAATTTTAAACCGACCTGCGCTTTAGGTAACATGTGATCGAAAATAATTTTAGAATTTTCGATTGGTAGAAGGTCCTACAGCACTTGTACTGCGATGGTATATTAAGTTTTGTGCGGATGTAAGCAATGTCCAGAAATACTTGAGGTAGACCCACCATTTATTATGCCGATCGATTCAGAAAAAAAGCTTGTCTGTCCGTCCTGGTTTTTTTTGCTCAACCTAGATGTGGCAATTTTTGGGAGTTTCTTACTTTGAAAAGTCGTTATGTGAGTAGCTGTAGGGAATTGGGGGATATTTAATGGCGAACTGTGCTCCACTACAGTGTTTTTATTTGTTTAATATTCTTTTAGTACTTCTAGATAACTTTTTTGTGGATGCCGTCTGTTTTCAAATATGACCTTAAATCAAGTATATAAGTTCCAAGTTTCAATTTCCCGTTTCAATTGCAGACCTTAAGAAACGATGTTGAAAAGAACGAACGAATATTGCGAAGATAATCAAAAGCTCTTCGCTAATTAGCAATATGTATATTTTACGGGATCTTTGTTTAATGTTTTCTTCTCATTATTGCAAACGGCTTTAGGCATTTTTCATAGGGATACCGTGTTTCCTTTTTATGTAAGATGGTCGTATACTCATTTTGTTTTTTTCCATAGTGTATGTAACACCAAAAAAGAAGCTTCAGAGGTCCTATAAAATATATACATTCTTGATCAACGCGAAATTCTGAATCGATTTAGCCATGTCCGTCCGTCTGTGTATTGTCGGCACTCTCCCGGTCGCAAGAATGAAGATATCGACTTCAAATTCTTTGATACATCCTTTGGTATATTTTTAGCGACATATATACCGTCAGCGACACTAGTGTCAACTTACTTTGCTTGAAGTTTTGCCTTATCAAAATTCACTCTCCATTGCAACGATGTTACGGGTGTAAGGGAAAATTTATTTTGGTTCTGAAATCTTTTTGTTAACAGATTAAAGTGTACACGACTCGGTAGTATATTTCATCCCAATTTCTTATCAGAGCAACCATAATAAACTCCGCGACGTGACCTTAAACAAAGTCAATGCCAGTAAAGTCCGACCCTTCTGATTAATCGTGGAACAGTTCATAATTTTCGTTAGATAGCGAGATTAAAAGTTTATCTACACTCAGCTGCTGTACTGAAATGGTAAATTGCGCGTGTAAGCGAAACCAAACTTACATTCATAATTAGCTTTGAATCCATAATAACCTTTTGCTGCATTGCGGTTAACGTATTTAATCAGCATATGCTTACTCTGGCTTTCGAGTTTTACGGTTGCGTGCTTGCCACACAAACGTTCTAGTAACGGCGACCTATACCAGTAGCCATCACGTATTTCAACGTAGTCCTCGGAACAATTCGACGAATGCAATATATTCTATAAATAAAATCATATGCTAAATGAAATAAAAACATGAACCGTCTCAAGTGATGTAACTTACCACATCATTTATTTGTAGCATAATCCTCTCCCCATTGCCAGCTGCTATATGCCATTCGCACGTTTCACTAGTCAAATTGTATTGATGACCTTCATCTGCGGCAGTCGTGTTATGGCCAACGTAATGGGGCGCTAAAATATCTCCCTTTGGCAGTTGTAATGTTTGACCGCACTCAAGGCATTTATACAATAGATTGGCTTTCTTGATATCACCTTTACTTAAACGTAAACGTTGACCAATGTCTACCTCAGCAATTGGTTTTATAGTATCTTGGTAGAGATTTTTGGAAAACGCCCGATTCGGATAATGCATTATTGACTCAAAGTCGTAGGGTAAACCCAAAGAATCTGAAGTATTGCCCAATTGCTTATCGAAATTAAGCTCTTTTCCTCTATCAATATTATCATGATGGACGACAATGTAGTCATCACGATCAGGTCGAGCATGTTCATGGTAAAAGCCCAACGCATGGCCAAGTTCATGAAGAATGTTTCCGAAATTCTCACAATCGGGACTAATTAAAATGTTTTGTCGGGAGTTACCTCGCTTACCTACTTCCGAAGAACAACTGAGTATTGATGGCAAAAAAAAAAAAAGAAAAAATTAACATTTAGAAATTCTCTCATTTTTTGCCTCGTAATTATTGTTTCTCACCCATAGTCTGTTTTGGTGAAATATATATAGTTTGCGTGTTCCTTGGAATCGTATTCCACAAATTTAAGGCAAGTGTCTTGTTCCCAGTGCTGCATAGCTGTAATGAACATTTGCCTTAGTCGAGGAGCGAATTCTTTATCCACTTCATACGGTATTACCCCGTAATCCCAAATGTATGTTCGGTTAGCGACAACATTACGTTTGTTTCGCTGAGTTCTATTATCTCCACTGTTATTATTTTCGTTAGTCAAAATACGTGCCAATGATCTGTTATGATGAAATTTTGCATGCGCTTCATCTGACGAGAGTGTCGTAACTTTACTTAATGGTTTTGCGAAGTCAAATAAAATCAATGAAGTAAAAGTCATAGCAAAGATTAAAAATAAAAATATGAGGTAATGAGTAATGACAGCCATTTGTGAATAAATTTCGTTTTTTTTTTTTTTAATAAGTTCCCACTTCACCCGCACTGATCGCTGATAAATCTTAAACTGAAATTTGTGTAAGTTTTTGGCCTCAGGCTGTCTTTCGGCTTTGAAGAAAATATTTTTTTCAATGTTTACCTGAAATGAACAAAGCAGCGAATCCTGTCGCACCAATGCATAGAGTATGCAGTTATCTAAGCACTTCTTTGGAAGCGTTATTATTTTGACATTAGCCTAACGTTGCCTGTAAGCTGAACGCTTATTTGCGTTCCTAAGGGAATTCCGCTTACATTTAAAACAATTAGGTAAAACGTGCCTCGTAAAAATACTCGCAATTACAATTAAGTCGAACAAATTTTCAGTTTGTTTGTATAGCTTCCGTCCTTCCATTTTCTCTGAACTGATAATGCTTTCTCTTTTCTTTTTTTTCTGTTGTACTTAAGAATTTTATTTTATGAATATTTCATTCTATTCCGGTTTTTATTTTTCATTACTTTTTCAATGACTTGAAACTTTCCACATAATACGCAATGTTAATAAAATTTTTAAAACGGAACTCTTAATAAAACAATTTTATAACTTGCATTTTTTGTGGTCACTCTACCATAGATTAGTGATGTAATAAACTTTTCATTTTATATGTACCATACTATGTAAGCATACCATGAGGTTTACAAAATAATTATGAATAGCATGAAGTTTTAATGTTCTTAACGTTCGTTACTCACTCTCGCCACGCAATTTGCTAATTCGCTGCTCAAGCGTCCAGACTGTCTGCCCTATATTCCTTCAGATCTTCGTGATTGATTTCTCCTTTGCGATCGCCTGCCATTTAGTTCTTCATTAACTGCATTTGTGCTACGTTCAGTCACCTCTATGCCTACGGTATTTATGTTTGAAAGCTGAGAGTTTGTAGCTATTAGAGGGTCTTCCCATACAGCGAAGGAGCAATTGCTTTACAAAGTCCATTTGAGACGTTGGTGCACTGGCCAAAATAATCCATAATTTTTAGCATAAAAAAATGCACTCAACATCTTCGTCGACGTAATGAATCTTTTTTAATGCTCGGACCAAGATGTTTTGCGAAAGTGTGACCCAATCACTCCACTAGTTCGAAAAAGACACTGAAGAACGTGTCATTCGTTGTTGATTGTTCGATTACTACCCTAGTATTTTCAAGACCCGATATGCGGCAATTTTTTTTCTTTATGTACTCAAATGTATAGAAATGAATCTAAATATATCAGAAAGATCCTAATCAGTGCCGGGCCCACAGGTACACGGGACATCCCACGAGTGGCTGGTCATAGAAAAAAAAATGAATAATTTTGTAGCGACCAATCAGCGAACATACTGTTGAGTAGTTCATCGTTTGCACCTGTCACACATCGCACTGACTATCGTCAAAATGTAAAATGAAGCATCTTGCTAAGCGATTCAGGCATGTTGCCCTTCATTTGTTTACTTTTCTCTTATATCTAATGTTTTTCAAGAAATTTTGAACTTTACCTGTTTTTATGTTACTACCTGAGATTTTCTACAAGCCATTGCATGCGTACACAATATAAGTGTTTGACGATTCGTACGTGCGGAATTTTGACTCCCACCATCTCGTTTTGTAATGTGATCAACTCAGTCGTTTTTCCATGTGCGATCCATTGGTCCGTTCAGCCTGTTTTCTCTATTTGTCTACCAGTTCGTCCACATCTGCCTGCTTATTTTGTTAGCGATCTGCTGTTTCTCTTTCCTCTTATATATATGCATGTAGAAATGTCTGCTATATCGCTTGTACATTGTACCGTATTCCGACCAGACAAGTGTACGTTCTGCTACCTGCATTTATTGCGGCGGTCCCTGCATCTGCGTACTTATCCGTTTCAAAACTGTCTGTCTATCTTTTCGTTCACACAAAATGTGTTTTTCTGTCTGCTTGTAGCTTATTTAGACTGTCGAACTGTCATTTACGTATTTTTGGCGGCACTGCGTCCATTTATTTGTCGTTCGGTCCATCGTTCGGTGCTTTTACTTAATTAATAGAGTTTAAGATAAAAACCTTAAAAACCCGATAAATGAAGAATAAATATTTGTGGTCAAGCAAGTATGTGTTTTATGGTCATCGTTATTACAAATGGATGAACAAGTTGAGCATATTCGTATTTCTCGATAGAGAGTAAGCAAAAAGTTAAATAAATGATGCAAAATATTATGTGTAGCTGTAGAACACAATTATTATGTATGCGAGTATATATGCATATGTATGCAAAAATAGTTTATACAAAATATTTTTTTTTTTTTTTTTGAAAATGTTTGCTCAAAGTATTTAAAAATGTATAAATCGATAAAGATGTAAGCGCATCAAAAAGGCAATCATCACAAAATACGTCAATTCTCTCGGTAATATAAGGTGGATTGCATCGTAGTAGGAAGGAAGTGTACACTACTGACCTTAGAGAGCATTGTGCACTGAAAGCATATCCGGTGTCGATTTTTTGTTGCTTGTGTGCGTACTAACAACTTGCATTTTTGTTGCTGTTGCCGTTGGACTCTCTTTTGTTTTTGAATCTAAACGACAAAGTAACGCATGGCAGCGTAAGTTGACTTCATTGCCTGACTAAGACTCAAGAGATATCTCGGAAATATAGAAGAGGAAGAATAGTTATGGATGACCTAATAAATAATCATAACTTATAATCAAAATTCAAACTTGAAAATATATCTTCAAAGGGAAGCTGTACACGAATATAAGTTTTAATCTAAAATATTTGCCACATTAGAGTTTATATTAAAGCTTATAAGTGTAATATATGTATGAATTTATGTATGCGAAAAAAATTGCATTAAAGCAAAGCACGTTTCTCACATCGTTATAAATGTGCAACACATTCATACACATGTTGCAAATTTTTTTAAGTCAATTTTTCTTTCAAGCAGAAAGCAAGAACTTGAAGAAACAACAAAGTATTGAAAGTTTCTTTTCGTAAAGAAGTGGATTCAATTTCACGTCCACACTATTTATTTAGTTAGTATGTAAGGGAAAAACCAAAAATATCAGATTTGTCTTACAGTTGATTTTTGTTTCTTCTTTGTATCTAATAGATACAATACAATCTATTACGTCGCACTGAGCTCGTAGTACACAAATATAAATATTGTTAGTGTGAGCGAAAAGAAAAAAAAAATAAAATAAAAAAATAAAAAATTGTATATGCGAATGACTTAAAGAAGAGGAAATAGAAGCCAAAAACGAACTCGCAATGTGACGGGTTTTATATATGAAATTTTATGAGAAACGTGATCAATTTTTAAAAGGAATGCTTTGCTACCATCATCGTAATGGACAGTAAGATAAAAATTTGTAATTTATCAAAAGTAATTGAACTAAAGAAAATCCAAAGATTGATAGACACAAAAATTCTCCTCTTTTTTTATTTTTCTTTCTTGCTCATGCATTTTATAAAAAATCATGTAATGCCGATTCTAAAGTCAACAATATTAGGGAATACTTCACAATGTTTTGCCAAAAAACAGATCATTTCAAAATCCTACCTGCGTGAGATTTAAAATGATGCGTTTTTCCCATAGTTCAATTATCATTCTTTGCAAAGCAACAAAAAATAGTCACATTTTGGGCTTTATTAGCTTGCTGCTCACGTTAACATTTACTGATACAGGACTTAGTAGAGTAGAGTAGAGAGAGAGGCACAGAAATACCGATTGACGAATATTATCGTGACACGAAAACAAATTAAGCTGATAAGAAGGAACCGTGGTAGCATATGTAGTCGAGTTCGTTTAACGCATGTTCGCGCTTTCTTCTTCGCTACGTTCGTTCGTACTTTTGTACATTCTTTGTTCATCTCCGTACGTCTCTTCGACCATTTCTTCAGCGATATTTTTGATCGCCTCTTCGCATATATCTTTGTTCAATTCTCCGCCAATTCTCCGGGTTTTCGGCCCGCCTTTTGCACTCTTTGGACAATCGCGTCTGTTACTATTTCACAGCTCGCATTGTCATCCCTGCCAACGGTTTTCCAGCACATCTTTCTACACAAATTCCTTCGACTATTTTCCGTACATCGTTTTAACTCATTTATTCCTCCTTCTTCCCTCAGCTGTCTGTTCAGCTGGTCATCGTTCTGCTCATCTCTTCGCATCCCGTTGTCACCCATTGTCCCGCGCACCACTTCGTCCGTACTCACTTTCGCCTCTTTGGTCTCTCTTTTCACCGTTTGTTTCTGCCTCTACTTTTCGATGCTGGTTTCCCTTTGACCCAACGCCGTTCCGTAATTCACCTCTAACTTCCTTTCCGCGTTCATTACTTTTCTGTTTCTTTGTAAATCATTGCGTTCACTTCCACCAGATATCATTGTGTCTATTTATTTCATCATCTGGCTTTACAATTGCCTATATGTTTCTTAAATCGTAGGCCCACTCATCTTCCTATCCGAGCTTTGAATCGTCTGTCCGTCCATCGGTCACGTCTATTCCTCAGGTCTATCTCTCTTCTTTCATCCTTTCTGTCGGTCTAGTTCATCCATCTGTCACCCTTCTCAGGCGTCTTTTTGTCTACGATTTTTTACTTTTTTTTTTTTTTTTTACTTCATTCAAATAACCCAAAACATTTTAGTCGGCTTTGGCCATATTTTCTTTGTTTTTTTCCCCCTTTCAGAAAGAGCTTCTACAAAGTTGCAAAATTCATATCATATATTGACTATTATTATAGCTGCTTTCTTAACACTTATGTACTTGAAAATCAATTTAAGTGTAACGCATGTGTTTGATATTCGTACTAAGTTAACTTAAGTAGTGATTTATGAGATTTTAATGTTCTTTCATTCTCCCATGTATGCAGAGACACAAGTACCCGAACGCCAATAACCAATAATGCATCAATTTTATGCATCTACGTATGAAAAAAGGGTTTCAAATCCAAGACCTTGAAC